TCTGCCCTGGCCTTTCAGCACACCAGATCTTTCTGAGCTAGATGAAGATAAGTTATGAGTAACAGGATAGAATATGAAATTGTGGCCCAGAGTAGCCTGTGTTCGCAATGCATTTGGGAAACCATGAGCAAGAAAATGAAAACACTGGTTTTCTCAGATACCCGCTTTTATGAGCTGTTCTGTGTAGTGGGTGTTCAGCATTTCTTCTTTCAACCAAATGTTTTCAACGTTTACTATAAATAAACAACTTTGGAAGCATTGTCATTGTTCTCTGTTTCATTACTTATGTAATTCTATAGCGGGTAGGGTAGAAAATGAGTTTTACTTACGGATTATCATGTTTTTCTGACAAATTTAGCTTAATGTTGAGTCTTTATGTTAGTAATTGTGAATTACCTCTGCTGCATGTATAGGAAGCCCAGTTATTTTTGCTGAAGAGTCTTCATACCCTGAGTAGCAAAGCGCTTAGAAGGAGGTAGTTGATAGTTAAGCACTGTCATTTGTTCAGCAGTAGTTTTGGTGTAGTTTTGCCAGCATCCAGTAGATTGCAGTGTGAGGCTGTTCGCAGTTGAGGGTTACATTTTATTACTTTATCAATACTTGCTCCGCCACCAGTAAATTGCATTGCTTCCTCTGGATTTTCAGGAGCTAGCTGAAATGTAGTACTGTTTCTCTCAAGTACATGTCCTGTTTCATCCAGTCTAGCTCATTTCCTGTCTTAACGTATTTCAGCCAAAGAACTGGACTCCTGAGCTGTGTCTCTAGAAACTCTTAATTTAATTTTATGTTGTTTTCTGCACTGGTGTGTCTGATCAGCGTAAGGCTGGCGCCTTCTCCCCTGGGTAGAATATCTCGCCGTGCTGTTCCTGGCAGTTCTTCTTGTTTATGTCTCTTGGTTTGGCGGCGGCTCCTAGATTTTCTACGGATGTTTTGGCAGGCTTCCTCAGCACAGCTGGATCAGATGCTTCAGGTCTGGCGACAGATATTTCCAAGAAATAGTGGCCTTTTTTGATCAGGATCAAACTTGTTTCTGTATGAAGCATTCAGAAAAGTTTCACTGCTCTCAGTTCTAGGAAATTTAGAAGGAAGGATGACAGCTTTTAGCATTTTCCTCAGCAACTCTTGAAGTGTTGTGGCAGACATGTTGAATGCCTCCAAGCACTGTTTTCATACAAGACACATAGTTTAAAGAAAATACTGCTTATCAAAAAAAGAGAGTTGTGTAATGAAGTGCAGAAGCCAGAGTAGTGGTGATATTCATGCTTATCTGAGTAAGGGCATCTACTGGGTAACATAGTTTCACAGCCCCAAAATAGCTTTCTTCCAAACAACTGGAAGGCTAGTTTTCAGATAGAAAATGCTTTCTATAAAATTTTGTCCTTTAGCTAGTTATTTTCAAGTAATTCTTCAGTCTCTGCATACCATTAATAATTCCGACGTAATTTTCAGAAATTGAAGGTAAACCATCCAAGTTGAACAAGTTTCAGATAATAAAGGCTCATCTTTGTGATTTTTTTTTTTCCCTCCTCCTTCCTCTACCCCAAATCCGCTGTCCTTGGTTTTGACCAGATGATACAGAGGTTGGAGAAACTTGGATTTTTCTTTATACTTATTTACAGAAAATACATATTTGGTCTTTTTTTCTTTTTTTTGTGATAATAGTATCTCACTGCTGTGATGTGTGAACTGCAGAGAGCCAGTTTAAAGCTGTTAATAAGTGGACTATGTGATTTCTGAAAAAGCTGAGAAACTAAGCGTGACAGGTGGGCAGGAGAGACAGTTATTGTAGAAATAGATTAAATATAAACATGCTATTGGAGTAAGCTGTATTCAGAATTTGTATAGAAAAGAATTAAAATTCCTTTTGTGAGAAGTTTTACAGCCTCTGACTGCACTATGTGTAACTGAATAGTCAAGATTCTCCCTTTTAGTCTTGCAGTCTGAATCGTTGTGTTCAGCCCTTTCCTTAGTGTGCTTTAGAAAGAAGATGATTATTTGTATCTCATACGTGTGACATTTTCAGCTGTACCATAAGAAAGTTTCTAATACTAAATCTTATACTTGCTGCCTGAAGAAGCGTAGAGAACATTTCCTTGATGGAATGTTAGTTATCTGTATTGATTTATTTTTTTTTAAATATTCCTCTGAGGTTTAGAAGCTGACCACAGCTGAAGGTGAGTTCATCGGGTCAAGTACTCTGACGTATGATATTCATGTTTCTGTTCACATCTAACTGGTGTTTTGCTCAGATACCTGAATTTATACTAATTGATTCTAATTAATTCAGGTTTGAGTTTGGCATTGAGTTTTTTGTCATTCTGTGCAGGCAAAGATCTATGGTTTTTGTTTTTAATTTTCCCAGCAATATTAAAAATAAGGATTACTTTTGGGGATTCTTAGCTCTTCAATTGCCTGGATGTGATTTTTCTGCTGTATCTGTGTTTCTGCTGGTCTGCCTGTGATATACAAAGTAAAATCTTCTGAAAGATGAAATCTTAGTCCAGTTTGGCCTTAAAATAAATTTAAGGGACGGGGTGTACAAAACCATGTAATCTAGATTATCCTCTTGAAGGTTTTAAAAACAGTTGCATTATGAGGAAGCAGTTAAAAAAACCTACTACTAACAGGTAGTGGGTATAATAGGTAATAGTGTAGGTAATAGGTATGTATCCACATAATGTGGATAGAATGAATAGTCTCACTTTGAACTGATTTTATAATGCGTTTAATGAGGTGGAAAAAATTCAGTAAGAAGAAAGAAGAATACTACTGTTGATTTAAGAGGGAAAGAAATGGAAAAAAAGTGAGCATACACAGATTTAACAGATTGGAATCATAGAGAGATTGGGGTTGGAAGGGACCTTAAAGATCATGAATTTCTAACCCCTGTGCCATGGGCAGGGACACCCTCCACTAGCCCAGGTTGCTCAAAGCCCCATCCAGCCTGGCCTTGAACCCCTCCAGGGATGGGGCATCCACAGCTTCTCTGTGGATGGAGATGCTATACGTAACGCTGTTACTAAGTTATAAGACTACTCTAATGAATCTTTAATAATGTATGTGTGCACTTGTAATGCTGTACTACTGTGGCATTATTTTGTGTGTTTAACAGTCTATAGACACTGACTCAGTAGGATGAAGCTTTTCAAATTAAAAAGCATTTTCCTTTTTCTTCTAGCTACTCTTATTGTCACTGTGTAGCATGTTTTGTAGGGTTTATTACACTAGGCCTTCTGTAGGCTAAATATTTTTGGAAGAGAAGTCTCCATTTTTCAGCTTGGTCAAGAGGCAGATCTAGCAGCTTTATGAGAAAGTGGTGTAGACGGGCTGCCGTCAGTGCTAAATCTCATTTAGAATAGTTCTAACAGAGAGCCTGCTGCTGTTGGAAAGCCCAGCACGTCGAAGAATAAAACTAAGGTTTGCTTAATTGAGGTGACAATATGAAATAATAAGAAGATGGCAATGAACTGACATGGGTAGTAAAAATGTTTTATAGTGGTAGCTAAAAAAAAACAGGGGCAGGTGGGGAGGGAAGCAGAGAATAGCTCCTGTCCATGAGGAAGGAACCTTTAATGTAGCAAGAACATTCTGTAAAATCTGCAGTCCCCGTGTTTCACCAGTATTCACTTTGCAATTACTTGCCAGCCTTGCAAAAAAAATTAAGCAAAATTACAGATCTGCTGAAGTCCTGCAAATTGTTTTGTTCCTAGCCTAGAAGAAAGGAATGGCTTTTCAAGTGATGACAGGTGACATCTATGTGTTTACAGATACCTTTTAAATGTGCTAATAGTTTTTTTCCTTTTCCTTTCAGGGCTAAATATCACAAACTAAAATATGGCACAGAATTGAATCAGGGAGATATGAAGCCACCAAACTATGATTCTGGTAAGAATTTATTAAGAATGAGTTCATTACTGTCATAAAAGCTTAACTGTGGTTTGTGCAAATGCTGAAATGATAGTGTTGATAAAATAAACCACTGAATGGATGCAGTGAGAATAAAGATAATTAATAAAGACTGTATTTTAGTCTCCTAAAAGTATATGCTAATACTCTGAAAGACCCTTTTAATAAATTTAATTAATTTAGATTTTAAAAAACCCAAACCAAGAAATTGCTCTTGGAGAGAATAATTTTTCCCTTCCTTAGTAATGTGTATGGACATTTTGGAACAGGGAGACACCAGATTTTTAGCTATAGAATCCTTTTGTCTTTGGATAATTCTTCTGAATAAAAAGTTAATGGGAAAGGACGTGAAATGTATAGTACATAATTTTTTGCTCGATTACCTCAATGGTATTCCAGGAGAAAAATAGTGAAAGTGCATATTAGACATAAGTGAGAATTTGAGAGTGGGGAATTTATTTGCAAGCTTCCAGTGATCATTGGAAGTGCATGCAACTAACTTCAGTGCTGTGCTGTGAGAGGACTGTTTTTCACCCTGGTCTCTGGAAAGCTGTTGTTTGTTCTGGAGGTTGCATCTCCCACTACACACAAATAGTTTTAAGCACTGAACTTGACGAATTAAGAATTTAAATGATTTTCTTTCATCCTTCTCTCTACCTCCCTATCTTTTCTTCAGAAAAAAAACCTGAAGGGGTACATACTCCTACTACAGCTATAAAACTAGAACCACGTATACATAAAGGAAGAATATAGAAAGTCTACAGACCTCAGCTCTGTCACTTGGTTTGTGGAAGGGATGGTCTGGTTTACTGTCATGGTTAACTCATCTCATTGAATTCAAAAGGTTGTTAAAAAACTCAGACAAACAAAAAATCTGACCCCACACCAACTGATGAGAATTTACATCAGGCTTTTCTTGTCCAAGATGTAGTGAGTTTCTGAGAAATGTTGTTTCACATTGTTATCAAGGTTATTGTTGTGGATGCCCCATCCCTGGAGGTGTTCAAGGCCAGGCTGGATGAGGCTTTGAGCAACCTGGGCTAGTGGGAGGTGTCCCTGCCCATGGCAGGGGGGTTGGAACTTGATGATCTTTAAAGTTCCCTTCCAACCCAAACCATTCTGTGATTCTATGATTATTTCCTTAACTGAAGAAATTGTTTAATTTGGTTTTACTTAAGTGGAGGACTCCAGTCTGTATCTGGATCTCTAGAAAACTGTTCTGATCGTAGCAAGATCCTAGACAACCTTGGTTTCTGTAATTTCTCAGGATGCAGGTATAGCATGTTGCTCCAGTTTCCAGCTGAGGAATGTAATGCAAGGCCTGGCTTGCCCAGCAGAGCTGTAGCCAGTGCATTACTTCTGCAAAGTGAACATTAGTGGAATTATCTTTGTTAAAATCCCATTATCCTGATTTATCCCATTGCATTCTGTATATGTAGCTGTCAGAAGTGTACACTTTTGTTCCATATAAAATCTAGACTGACTAAAGATACACAGCTAAAATAGAACCTTTGTTACCATGTTCCTTTGGAGTTGTCTTTGATAGAAAATTACTTGTATGTGTGTTTCTTCCCCCTCCACCCCTGCATTTTTTGCCCAGTCAGGAAAAAAAATGTGGAAGTGTTTCTGGTAGTTCTTCCAAATGGGTCCTTGTGATTTGTTTGCTCTGTGAGCTCTTGGGGAGTCAGTAATACACTGTAGAAGGAAAGAGTTCAAACTCCTGATAAAGGGATGCCTTTTTTTTTTTTTCTTTTCTGCTTGTGATATCTCCTGCTGCTATTTGCTCATATTTCAAGTACCTTCATTCTTATCTGTAAACCGCTGTTAGCACTAGTGGCCATCAGTTTTGAGGAGACTAAGCAAAAGAGAATTCTTGCCTGTAGATGTACCTAATAGTGCCTTCAGAAGAAGGGTTTTTGCTTTGAAAAGGAATTTTCAGGCAGATTTCTCTCAGTCATATTTTAATTCTTACAGAGTGAGCTTTGGTAGTTGTGCATTGGGTCCAGCTGTGTTCAGTTGTCATCAGAAAATCATTGTGCAATTGATTATTTCCCATGGTTGCTATTAAATGGTTTTGTGAATTTGAGATGGATAAAATTCATATGGCTCTCCTTGCGCTTGAATTCTGATTAGTTGTGGAAAGCTTCTTTGGGTGGGTGGTGGTTTTTTTGTGTGTGGTGTTAATTCAGTTTAAAAGTAAATGACTTCCAGGTGAGGATAATTTTTCGACATCACATATCAAGTTACTCATAGGATTACACCACAGATTTCTCTGGTTCTTAATTTTTATTTGCATAAGAAGATTGTTCATCCTCTAGGGTTTGGACCACAAGGTTTTCAAGTTTTGTAGATAATAAACCAAGATCTTTTTTTTGGGAAGCATATGCTTATGTATCTCAATTTTTCAACAGCTTTTCAGGTTAAAAAATAAACAACCTGTTGTTTTTTTTTCCTTTCACAAAACTCTTACAAATATGGATTAATTTAAAGTTGATGTGAGTAGGTCTGTTGGTTTTGTGTTGTGTGGTCAAATATTAAGGAAATTGGTTGGACAGTAAGATGTAAATAGATATCATGCTGCAGTTGCATTTGGTGGTGTTAGCAGTTAAAGATGTTTGTATTCAAATTTAAATTATGAGCAGCAATTACATTGTGAGGTTAATGCAAAAATGAAACTGCAGATTGTCTATGTGATTATGTTCCCTTAAAGAAAAAGGAGTAAGATGGGACTTTTGGATGTGAGACAGAAGGGAAGGCACTGATGGCTACTGGAAATTGCTCTCATACACTAGGATGTACCTGACAATCTTTATGTGTACATAGTACTACAATTGCATGCTGTGTGCGTTTTTTGTCTCTCTTGATTGATTATTGTCACTTTGAATCTTTTATTTTGTTATTAAATCATTTCTGATCATTTTAAGACAAATCACATGTCTTCTCAAGTGAAGGGCATCTTTTTAAAAAGTAGGGCAAAGAAAAAATGGTCATAATTAAATAATCTTTTCCAGATGAAGGGAATGAGACAGAGATTCAGCCACAACAGAACAGTCAGCTAATATGGAAACAAGGACGACAGCTGCTAAGACAGTAAGTGTTGAAAAAAGGACTCGAATAACAAATGCAAGGAAGAGAATCTGGTAATGAAATGTGATGATGGTGGTATTTGACTTTTTTTCTGTTAGATTTTCTTTCAAGAAAAGTGTGTGTGTTGCAGTTCATTCAGCTTTTGCCCTACTTTTGCTAGGTTTTTGACAAATTTTAATATTTCAGAACTTTGTATGGGAAGCCCTATCAGATCTCAAACACCTAATCTCCTTTGCTTTTCTTTCACAGAGTATAATAAAACAATCTGCTTGAGGGGGAACAGTGGCTCATGACACTTTACAATCCTTTTTGCGATTAAAACAACACACACAAGTATTTCTGTTAAGAGCTGTGTAAAATAAAACTAACTGTTTGTGTTAGAAAGGAATAACTTTTACTTGGCCTGTGTTAGGTGCAGAAAAGAGTAATATCCAGAAAATTACACTACAAGTTTTCTAAATCTTGGTTCATCTCAGTGAGGCAAATGTCAGTTAATCTAAATCAGTTTTTGAATTGTGGTCATAATGAGTTAATTCGTTTCCAAACTACTTGGTCATGTTTTTGTGTGGTGGTTTTTTTTGTTGTTTTGTTGGTTTTTTTTGTTCGTTTGTTTTTTGTTTTTTGCCTTGGTTACAGCCCTTGGGTTAAATTGAAGAGGTCTCTTAAAGACCTCTCATCAGACTGTTTCTACCTGTTTTTTCATGTATTTGCCTCATCCCCTATGCTGATAGTTTGATTCTAAGGTCTTCTAATCAGCAAGCAGAACTTTTGCTTTATAATTTTTTTTGGTGTGTTACAGAGGATTAAATGAAAGGGGAGGGAGACAGTAAGGACAGTCTGGAGCTTATGTTAAAGGACCTTTTTCCAAGGAATTCTGCAAATGTTAAATTTGTCTGTTGCAGAGCTTGTACATGCTTTTCAATTGCAAGAACTCAAATCTTTGCTTTTATGTTGAATAAATGTAAATAAAGTGGTCTTGACTTGGATCAGTGATTTTCAAGACAAGTCATTCCTTCTCAGCATAATTGATAAGTGACACCGTGCTGAATACAGAGTGTGTGTTACTGACGGACTATTTTGTGTATGTGACTTGTATGGTTTTTATATAGCCAGCAATCAGTATTTCTCTCCTAATGTGGTTATGTAGAGGATATTGTTAAAAAATTGGAGGAGAATGTTCTTGCAGGAAAAGTGCATGTCCTTCCCTTGTAACAGCTGCTATTGTAAAATAGCATTTCCCCTCCTTAGAGTCCTGCAAAATATTGGCCATTTAATCAGTTCGGTGCTCCTGAGAAGACATTGCTATTAACTCCACGTTCTAGAGGAAAGGACAGAGATCAATTTTACTTTTTTTTTTCAAAAATCTTTATTTCCCCCCTGCCCCACCCACAAAGGCAAGATGTCATATTGATGAGAGAGACAAATTTAGACCTTGAGGTTTCATACAAGCTAGTCCAGGATTCTTGCTGCCCAGCCCTGATATGCAAGACAAATTAATATTTTGCAGTTCCATTGCAGAATAAGAAAAGGGCAAGGCAAAGATTTTATCCAACCTAGTGCATTATAAATAACAACTCTTACTAGTACCTACAGCTACAGAATTTTTTGTTCCCTCGGTTTTCTAGGCTTCTAATAACACTTACATAAGGAACACATCTGACATTTCCTGTAAGGCTTCATCTGTAGTTTCCATGTGTTGAAGAATAAAATGGCCATTTTGTACATGCAACTGTGGTGATTTTTATAAGTCAGTTGTAAATATTTTAATTGAAAGTGCTTTTCCATCCATTTAAATGAATGAATAACGTATTGTATAAACTGACTGCTAGGCTCTTTGATTTTTTTTTTTTTTTCTCAGTGACTGTAGAGGCTGGTACTGCAAGAAGCGATCCCCCTGCAGCTGGTACAGGATGGTTTATAAGCATGTTTCATTAGCACAGCACTATACTTTGCTAGGCTAAGGGGTTGGAGATGAGTTTTTATTTTTTGAATAAGTGAGATGCGCATCGAAGATTAGCATGAGTTCTGTTCCTGCAGGTATCTGCAAGAAGTGGGCTACACCGACACGATATTGGATGTGAAGTCAAAACGAGTGCGAGCTTTACTGGGCCTCTCAAGCGATGCTTCAGAGAAGGAAAACAGAAATCAAGAGCCAATGGTAAATGGCACGGAGGGCCAGATTAAAGAAAACACAATGATTGGGTAAGCATCAGGATGACAATGTTATCTTTCTGCATAAATGCATTTAGTGGTGTAGAACAAATTTTTATTTACTGAGATTTCAGGTTTTTTTCCCTGGGTGGTGATTAGAGCAATTTTAACTAATTTTATTACATTAAGCAGTAATTATGGAAGTATCTCTTAAGATTCACAGCTTAAAAGCGCATCCTAAGGGTTCGTTTTTCAGTTGGATGGTCGTACAAAGTCAAACCAAGCCTCTGTGAGATACAGTTGCTAAGTGGTTAGAGGTCAGCCTTGTTTCAAGTTAATTGTTTATTTGTATTGCTGGAAACTTTACTCGTCGATTACAGGCTTTGCTCTTCTGGTCTGTGCTGACTGTGACGTGATAATCTATATGAGATAGTGGATTTTTTTAGACTGGATCTGAAAAACATTCACATGTTACTTTCTGATTCCTGTAAGTTTTTTGTTTTCCACTAGTGGAAATAGTGTGGCTGAAATGTGCAGTGTCTTTCAATGTTTCTAATACTATGAAAAGTCAGTCAAGGAAAGTAAAAGCTTGTTTGCTTTTGCATTTAAGTAATTTGAAAACATAAGATGCTTTTTTCCATTTTTGTCTCTTTTCCATGCAGAGTTTAAAAAAAAGAAAAGTAATTTAAATCTGAAACTTAACTGTAGAGGCTTCAGGAAGAGAATCTGTTTGCTCTTGTTTAAGATATAGTAGTTACAAAACTTGAAAAATAATGACAATTATGCAGAATGGTTTATCTGAACAATAGATGAGGTAACTGTTCTCAGTAGTTTGTGCTGCATCAGCGAGCACAGCTTTCCTCAAAGATTCCCCCTCTTTTTCCTTTCCTTTCCTACTGATGTCACAAAATTCAAGACTTTTTTTTTCAAAAGTCTAATACTGTTATATGACACATTCTGTCTTTTAAAAAGCATTTGTAAAATTTCATTACTTCCAGCAGACAGCTGCAGCAACTTCAGGCCAACAAGTTATGTAAGGGCAGAAGTTCATTGTTATGTAATTAAATTCAATGCTGTGAGGTGGAAAATTTGAACGTATGAGAAAACCTGCAAGCTACTAAAATATAGTACGACAAGCCATGTCGTTCATGTACAACAGCTTTGTTTTTGAAGAACAAGGAATGCTTGATAGATTGCAATAGTAATGTTGTTCGATTTCTGATGAAGGGGTCACTTCTCAGGGGAAATGGGTAAATAAAGCTCCTCTTCTTACACTTTAAAATTTATTTAAATGTGTTTACTTCATTTTTGAAACAGGTGGGTATATTGTTTGATGGGTTAGATAGTGGTTTTGGTATAGCGGTTTTGGATACATTTGTATTTCTTTCCTATATTTGCTTTCTGCATAGACCTGATATTAGGTTTAACACTTCGTAGTCTACTCAGTGGCTAAGGACATTCATTGATGAAGAAAAATCAGTTTCTTTCCACTGTGCCTCTTCAAGCTTGTCAGCTGCAGAGGTGGTTGGGCTGCATGCTTTGAGAAACTGTTTTCATCTCCCTTGTGGTGCACGAGATGGCAGACTGTATTAGGAAGCTTAGGGGAGCATTGTGATACATGATGTGCAGGACGTGACTCCAGGGTTTTACAGTGGAAGTACTTCCCAGAGATCTTGTTCAACGTATTCTCATCGGTCTTCACGGGTGATTTTGAGTTTGTAGATGTCGGGTGAGATCTCCCTCACTGAGAGGAAAAAGTTGGGATTTTACTAAAATTCTTGGTCAGTCTGAGTACAAGACTAGCTTTCAGAGCTGTGATTCTTCTGGGTGTTTCAAGTATGCTTTCAGACCATCTCTTTGAATTTCCCATGCGGGAGGCATTCTGTGGCTTTCTTCCTGGCAGAGACTGCCTGTTATTTAACAACTATTTCATCTTGTGCTACTAGATTCTGTAGCATGTTACACCTCACTGTTTCTGTGCCATGTGGCACTGTTCACCTCCTCCCAACTGCATCATCGCTTTCCTTTGAGATTTCAAAGTGCAGCTTTATGGCAGATGTGAAATCAGAAATAAGATGAGATGTTGTTCTCGATCAGCTCATACTTACCTGTTCGCTGCCTCGTCTATTGACAGCATTACTTAAACATGTATAGAAAGCTTATTTTTGAAGAGCAGTAGTATTGAGTAGGTGACTAAGATTTAAGGCACATGGATCTTGCTCCTGATTCTTACAGAGTTTGAAAACTTAATTCAGTGCTTTTCTGCCTGGTTGGCAGAACTGGGAAAAATTTAGGTGGTTCAGGTAGCTTAATTGTGGCTCACAGTTGAGGTAGGGACACTCTCTGAAGCAGTGTCATCAGTGCTTACCAGGACGGTGAAAAGATGGTCAGTTCTTTTAGCAGCCTCTTGTTATTCCTAGTGTGTATGCAAAGTGAGAAGAGGATTGGGGCCACAGCAAGCTTGCACAGTTAGAAGGAGTGCGATGAACAAGTGCCTGCAGTTTGGTAGTGGTAGAGGAGGAAATTCCAGTGATAGATCAGAAGAAGAAGAAACCAACCAAAACCTCAGTGCAGTCCCAGGAAGTTTAAGGACGTGTGTATGTTTGCCAGGACCACCAGACGTTGGGACAGTTGCAAACTAAAGTGCAGATGGAAGGCACTCTGTGGCCATATGGATACGGTGAAACTCTTTGCAGGAGAAAGCTTTGCTACCACCACAGAAGCCTGTGAACTGCTCAAGCCAATGTAGTTTGGCAAATTTTGTGGTTCAAGACATTTAATGAACATTGATGTCAAGTATCTGGTAGCAAGTCTGAGGCTAGTGGTCAACCTGGAGATGTTTCAGTTACATTTGAAGAGCAGAGTGCTGGACAAAAATGTAATGCTTGGAAACGAATCTAGTCTAACAAGGAATACTTGTGTTAAAGTGAGAAAGCACAGCTCTTAGAATGTTTGATTTGTTTGATCTTGGAAGAACTGCATAATATTGTGAATCCAGCTGAGACTGTGGATTTTAAGTCTGATTTTTTTGGAAAATGTTTACATTAAAAGAAGAATGTGAGAAGCAGAATACAGGGATTGAAGAAAGAGAGAGCTTCTGGGTGAGAAACCATGAAGACAAATCAACAGGAGTTCAGAAAGAATGTCGGTGAATGTGATGAAGATAACATACAGTAGAAGGGAAAACAGCACAGTGAAAAAAAGAAGGAAAATGGATACAAGTATGTGTTTCAGGAACAGGAAAATGGAAGGCATGTTAGCTTTAAATTTCTTTAGAGATTTCTCTCAGTAACAATGTAAATTGCAGAAAGAATAGATTGGATAAACTGCCTTCTGTAGCTGAACACCTGAGATAGATCCCAAAGAAGGTAAAAAATGGTATTTGATGCTTTTATGTAGCCATATGGTTACCTCTTTGGGAGGAGAGAGGGGTTAATGGAAATGGGAAACAAAACTTTGACTGTTGTTTATTGGTAATCAGCCAATACTTTCTCAGTGAAATGAAAGTAGTGGAGAATAAAACAAATTGGTACTTGGAGAGAGTTGGAGAGAAATTCCAGTAAAAATGGAAGAACTGACATACTTCTCAGCATAGTCTGATGTTAGCATGGTTTTTGTGTAAGCCCATTATTCTGTGTATAATGTTTGTTGCTGCTACTCCACCTCCTTCAGCAATGCCTCTGATCTACCCCTGACTGTATTTCTGACAACAGCAGACACCCACACTTTTTTTATTTTTTTGGAAATGCCTTTGATTGTTGTAAGAGTAAGTGGGTAGGTCCTGGCGTTTTTCCTCTGACCCCAGGGATATGTGAAGTGTATACTTCGTGGTGGATAGGGAGGATATTCATTCTCTGCTCAATTCACCACATCTTTTACAGATTTTAACGAGTTGTCTGTTGGTATAACAGACAACAAGGTATAACTGGTATATGTACTTCAGCAGCTGGGGTTTGGACACTCAGTGCTGTGGCAGCAACAGTAAGTCAGATCATTTTATGGGAAGGGCTGGTGAGAATGTTTGGGGTGATTATTGTGAAGCTGATGCAGTTTACTTTGTTATCGAGAAGTGTACAGTAGTTACTGTAGTGCAAATACTTAAGACAGTAATACTTGCAGCAGACAATATGTAACCTGAATTCTGCTAGACTCTAGTTATTTTAGAAAATTGTAATCTGGTCCCTCATACCCTTCTGCTTAATTTTGTGTACCTTAAAGGGTTGCAGTTACATCAGTGAACTCCCTCGACCGCTTTGTTTTTCTCTTGTGTTGGTACAGTGATGAACAAACCGCTGTTGTCTGAAAGTCTTACTGTTAGGTGAAGTAGACGCAGTCTTTACGTGTTACTAGCTGCTACATTTGTCGCCAAACTTGTATTCTTACATTACCTATTTATTTGCTGATGTACAGATCCTCTTGAAAACTTTAGCACTCAAGACATCATGTGGATTTTGAATGCACCTTGGAAGATTTTGATTCCATAAATGAAATGTTAATATGATACCCTGAGATAGATATAGTCCTGTTTCCACTTTTTTCATGGAATTTAGAAGGGAATCTGTTTTCAGTTTCTTCAGATCAGCTCACTTGCATTACAAAAGATAAGTACCATTTGGCATGACTGGACTGAAAAATATATACTAAAATAATAACTTTATAATAATGGTTGGAATTCTTAACATCTGCAGTGAGAGGAATGGGTGCTTTCCCCCAGCAAACTGAAACAGAAATTAAAGCTGCCTGCAAATATCACTTGTAGCCTTGAAAACATGAGAGTATTAAAGTATCTTCAGTTCACTTATTACCTCATTTTTAAATAGCTTTGTCTTATTGACTGAAACCTGAACAGTCAAATTAGTTTACCATTTTGAAGGTGTGTATTTGTCTACTGTTTGATATGAGTGGAAGCAAATATAGTAAAGGAAAAGAACTGGAAAGGAAAGAGGGTATACCAAGGATACGTATGTATATACACATATATATGGATGTGTGTATGTATAAAACCAATATAGATAAATATAGTTCTAATGATCAAATTGTTAACAAGAACT